TGTGTGTTTGCACGCGGGTGTATCTATGGACAGGCACATGCTGCGCACCAATATGGAGAACAGAGGTGAACATGTGGGAGTTAGTTCCTTTCTTTCACCATGTGGTCCTAGGAATCCAACTCAGATGTGAGGCTAATATCAAGCACCTTTACCCACCGAGCCATTTCACCGCCCCTAATTTATTTTTTTGAGACAGGATCTTGAGTAGCCCGGGCTGGCCTCAAACTTACTATGTAACTAAGGCTGGTCTTGAACTCGTGATCTACCTGCATCAGCCTCCCCAGTGCTGGGTTTATAGACATGGGCCTTCTAGCCAGGCAGAATGTTTGCTTCTTAACCTTCTTCTGTTGTTTTGTAGCCAAAATGAAGTCTAATTCTTCCACTAGTCTATTCCTGTTACTCAAATCAACTAGTTTCTTCCTCGTCTAAATTCTTTCAGCACTTAGTATGAATCACAGCCTAGAGTCTGAGTAGGTACACTGCTGTCTGGATTAATGATCATTTCCTACAAAACTGTATAACCAGCTAGAAACAGGTGGAGAAAGGGAAGATTCTTCCACAGCCCTTTCAATAGCAGTATAATGAAAGAGTAAAGGAGAAGCCAACTGTGGCTGAAAACAGAATTTTCAGATAAAATACATGGCCCCACAGCAGATTGGATCTTCCTAGTAACCACTTACAGCTGTACATTATACATGCCCTGCTCTCACCTATGATAGTCAGAAAAAAAATTCTTCCATCAAGTACATGGATTTTCACATTAAATGCATCTCGTGTATTCCTCAAAACAGCCTTATAGGCGGGTCTTTTATCTTCATTTTGTACAGGAAAATCAAAGCCTGTAAGTGGATGCAGTGATTTGCCCTGTGTTGTACTGAAGTCCATTGCTTTTATATCCACCCTGGATGACATAGCCCCTCTTCCTTTTCTCCCAGGACCCATAGAAGGAAGGCCAAAGAAACATTTTTAGTATTGATTTAAAACCAATGAGGCAAATTTCTCTTAAGACAAAAATCAGAGAGGCAACAGCAGCTGTTGTAGCAGCCTGCTCCTGTTCCCTTCCACCCATAGAGAAGGGCACAGAGAAGGGGATGTTCTTGCAACAGGAATGATTCACACCAGAAACAAATGGTAGTCTACAGGCTACTATATTCAAAAGCGTGTCACACACACACCAGCTTTGGGGAGAGGTTCTTACAACATGTCCAGAGCTGAGGAAGAGATAATATTTCAAATCAAAATATGACTTCTAATGACTAGTTATTGCTTTTGTAACATCAAAACCTGAAAAACGTGTATGTTGGAAGATTTGTGTGAGACTGAACTAGGCTTAAGCAGACCGAGACTTTCATGTTTTCCTCCATGCTGAAGGCATTCTGGAAAAGTAACTCCTTTCCCACAAAATGAATCATTGGAAAAAAGTTACAAAGTTATTTCTTGAAACTTCACTTTGCAAATGTTTCTACCTAGTGAATATTTACAAGAAAAAAGATAAAATATTATCCATCCTGTTGTGATTGCTGGATATGATAATTGAAGAATAAAATGTTGATTTGAAAAGTAAGAAAAAATATAATCAGCTAAGGGTAAATAGCTTCTTTACATTCATCTACAAATGTATTTTTTCTAGTATGTGTATTTCTTTTTATCTGCTTTAAGAACAGTGTTTTAAAATTAACTTCTATAGGCTTCATAATTTTTACTTTTACTTACTGAAACATCTGATAAGCATATGTTATTCCCACTGGGTAAGCATGAGAGTATTTATTTTCAAGTCTCATTTATTTCACTAGGTTGGGTTGCGAATTTTTAAATACCTATTATTGTGAATGTGCATGTGTGTGTTCATGACGTGTGTTTTGGGTATGCATGCCATGATGTGCATCTATAGGTCTGGGGAGAACATTATTGAAGTCAGTTCTCTCTTTCCGCCTTGGCTTCTGAGCATTGAACTCAGGTCGTCAGGCTTGTGCTTTTATCCACTGAGCTGTTTAAAATGTTAGACGTTTGTTCCAAGTAAGTTTCCATACCTTTTTTTTTCTTATTTTCTATTGTGATTTTTTCCACTCCAAACAAATTTGTTTAGACATCAATGCCAAAATTTTGATATGTCATGCCTCTAAAGAGCATTGCATTAATGTTTTATATATATGTATATATATAGATAGATAGATATTGTTTTGTTTTGTTTTTCTTTTTTTGTTAGAAAGGGTCTCCTTGTAGCTCCAGCTGTCCTGGAACTCACTATGAAGACCAGGCTAGCCTTGAACTCACAGAGATTTCATGAAAGGATAAATTCATAATCATTTAGTGTGTATGCATCATATATATGTATATATATGATTATGAACTTATCCTTTCATGAAATTTCACTCCAATACTTTGTTTAAAAAAATGAGGGAAAATATGAGTGACTAGAACATCAAATTTTTCTGCAGAAGGCAAAGAATGTAATGGAGTTATCAGCATATTTGTTGACTTTTTGAGTTATGAACTTTTATTCAGTTATTTACTGAGAAGCACGTACAAATGACACTATAAGGGTAAACAGGGGTGCAAAACTTAAGCAAAAGCAGTCACCCTCCTTTC